GTGGCGATCCCTGATAAATATTGGTTGGTAAACCTTTCATGAAACATTTTTGAATAATAACACAAATCACATCACGTTATTTCCAAAAATTATGCTTTAATGTGCACTCTCATAAATGAAGGTACAATATCTGCCACTGGGATGCATTTTTGTACCTAACAGCTACAGATTTTTACTTTTTAGATACTAAGTGTGATGCGTGGAAATCCTAGATTGGACTTTGTGTCTTTATCTTTGCTTTAGAGAGCTCCAGAGACACAGAGAGACGATAATCCAGAAGTTAGCAGTACAGAAGCAGCAGCTGATCAGCAATGAGGAGGAGATCATCGCCAAAGCAGTGTCTGAACGGGAGGAAAGACTGACCAGAGAACAACAGGAGAAAGAAAAGAAACACACAGACATGCTCAATGCCATTGCTGCACACAGAGAATCCATGGTAAATTACCTTGTACCATGGTAAACTGCAAATGTATGATTCGGATTTAAAAGCTTTTCTAGTAATGAATTTTATTTATTATATTTATTTTTTCAAATATAACAAGGCTGAATAAAATGTATATAAAATGGTTATAAAATGAAAAGTTAATATGTGTAAATTACACATTAAAATAAAGGAAATATATCATTTTATTTTATGCAAGTATGTAATTAATATTATAATTTTATATTATATGATAGTATAAATTTATAACATATTATCTATCTATCTATCTATCTATCTATCTATCTATCTATCTATCTATCTATCTATCTATCTATCTATCTATCTATCTATCTATCTATCTATCTATCTATCTATCTATCTATCTATCTATCTATCTATCTATCTATCTATCTATCTATCTATCTATCTATCTATCTATATATTAAATAATAAAAATTAAATGGCAATTTAAGTCAAAATAAGAGAAAGTATATAATCTGACATTATATTATATTCTTAAATAAGGGAAATATATTATTTTATACTATGTGATTATATAATGAAATATTTTAATTCGATATTATAAGATTATATGAATATATAACATATTGTATGATATTTTATAATAGAAATAAGATTGCAATTTAAATGTCAAAATAAGGGATATTATATTATATTTTTAAATAAATTTATAATGTAATTATATGACATAATTTATAATATATTTATATATAATTATATAACATATTATATCTTTTTTATATATTAAAATTAATCAGTACAAAATAATTCTTATGACAGCATATTTATTGACGGGTGTGCATTTCTTTGTAATTAATTGTGAAATTTACTTTAAATTTAATTTGAAGTGAAAATAATTTTTGTGTACTGTTTCTATTCAGTGTATATAAAATAAAAAGATTAACTGAAATGAACATTTATTTTAATTTTTATATTAGAGGCAAGAGCAGGAAAGAAAGGTGGAGGAAGAGAAACAGAAAGCTCTGGAGATGCTGAATGCAAAGAAGGAAGCGGATCAAATCTTCATGGAAAAACAACAACGTCGAGCTCAAAAAGCAAGAGAAGAAGGAAAAACACTGCAGGATCTCTACATACAAGAGATGGTAAGTGCAGCTCGATATGTGCTTTATTTCCTGCCAAGAGTATTTTTTCTAAACTAAAACTAAAACTATTGGCTGATATGAGTTTTCTAAGAATTTGTTCCTAATTTTTAATTAATTTAATTTAATTTAATTTAATTTAATTTAATTTAATTTAATTTAATTTAATTTAATTTAATTAATTTAATTTAATTTAATTTAATTTAATTTAATTTAATTTAATTTAATTTAATTTAATTTAATTTTAAAATATTTATTTACTTTTTATATTTTAATTATTTGTTTTATTTCATTTTACTTTCAAAAGATTTTTATTCATATTTTATTTTATTTTAATTTTATTTAATTAGATTTTTGTATTTTTTTATATTTTAATGTGTTTTATATTTTAATTTTAAATTAAAATTTTATTTGACTTTTATTTTTTTTAATGTTTTATTTTATTTTCCTTCATTCATTCATTATTTCATTATTTCATTTATTTCCCTTTGGCCACAGATTAATGAACTGCCTATTTAATTAAATTAAATAAAAATAAAATTTCACTTTATTTTAAAATATTTATTTATTTGTTTTATATATATATATATATATATATATATATATATATATATATATATATATATATATATAAATTTTAAATAATATAAAAATAAAATGTTTAAAATAGAAAAAATTAATAAATATTTTAAAATAAGCTAAATCAAAGTAAATTAAAATAAATTAAAATAGGTAGTTCATTCCACTGTGGCTGAAGGAAAATAAATGAAATAATGAAATAATGAATGAATAAAGGAAAATAAAATAAAACATTAAAAAAAATAAAAGTCAAATAAAATTTTAATTTAAAATTAAAATATAAAACACATTAAAATATAAAAAAATACAAAAATCTATTTTTTTCTAATTTAGAATTATTTATTTTTTCTAATTTCATTCATTCATTTCCTTTTGGCCAGAGAAAGGAACTGCCTATTTAAATTATTTTATTTAAAATAATATATAAGTAAAATAAAATAAATAGGAAAATAATTAAATTAAATTAAATTAAATTAAATTAAATTAAATAAATTAAATTAAATTAAATTAAATTAAATTAAATTAAATTAAAATGTAATTAAATTTATTTAAATTTATTTAAATTTAATTTAGTTTAATTATTTTCCTATTTATTTTATTTTACTTATATATTACTTACATTCATAATTTGTAATATTTTTTTAAATTTAATTTAATTGTATATATTTTAATGTGTTTTGTTTTATTTTTATGTATTTTTACATATTTACATTTATTTTACTGTATTTACTAAAACTAAATGTGTGTGTAAAATAAAACTAAACTAAAACTAACAAAACAATTGGTGAAACTAAATAAAAATACAGCCAAATGTTCTAATAATATTGAAATAAAAGCTCATTTACAATATAAAACTATAATAATAACCTTGTTTTATGCATTGAACTATGATTTCTCTCTGATTTTCTTTTGTTTCTTTACCAAAGGCAGAGAAACGTGCAAAACATCAACGTACAAAGAAGGATCAGCAGGAGTTTGTGGAGAAGAGCAACGCTTTCATCATTGAGGAGGAAAAGCAGTTTCAGACATACGCCAAACAAGTCATCGAAACAGCCGAAAGGGCCGGCAGGAACACATACCCACTCATAAAGGCAGCCAGAGAGGGCATCGGTGGGGGTCTGGGGCCAGTTTTCGGTGGACTTAGACCGAGTTATCTGGTCCATGATGAGTCAGGCGTTCAGATGCCCAGTTATTTGAACAGCCGAACGCAAAACATAAAAGAGCTCAATGAAACCTCCGACATTCAGCAGTCCAAGAAAAGACTAGGATTCACCTGGTGATGCTTTATGATGTCTGCCTGTTATAATGATCCTGTCTTTGAATTGCTGAAATAAAGATTGTGTGCAAATGAAGTTGTAATTGATGGTTTTTCATAATTGCTTGTTGATCCCAAAAATTATTTAAGATAAATCAGATTTTTTTATGAATGTGATTATGATTAAATAGTACTGTGTTGTCAGACAAGTCTCAATTTCCTCTTCTGAAATATACAGTTTCTGTGTTTACGATAGTAAAACATCATTTAGACATTTACAAACACTTCCAGGCGAGGCAGTGGTGCAGTAGGTAGTGCTGTCGCCTCACAGCAAGAAGGTCGCTGGGTCGCTGGTTCGAACCTCGGCTCAGTTGGTGTTTCTGTGTGGAGTTTGCATGTTCTCCCTGCCTCCGGGTGCTCCGGTTTCCCCCACAGACCAAAGACATGCAGTACAGGTGAATTGGTAGTGTATGAGTGTGTGTGTGGATGTTTCCCAGAGATGGGTTGCGGCTGGAAGGGCATCCGCTGTGTGAAAACTTGCTGGATAAGTTGGCGGTTCATTCATGCTGTGACGACCCCGGATTAATAAAATACTAAGCCGACAAGAAAATGAATGAATGAACAAACTCTTCCATCATATAAAACGAGTCGTATTATACTCAAAAAAGTATTATATACATTAATATACATTATTAAGTCCAAAGTCCACAGTCCAAAGACATGCGCCATAGATGAATTGAAGGGCATCAGCTGGTAAAACATATGCTGGATTAGTTGGCGATTCATTACGCTGCGGCGACCTGTGATAAATAAAGTTACTAAGCCAAAAAGAAAATGACTGAATGAATAACTAAATAAAGTCATATAGAAAATTAGATATATTATTTATCACGTATAACATAATTTATTTAAAAATAGATACCAATTACACTAATTTCACGTTTAATTAAAATTAATTACTCATTATTTTAATAAGTATAAGAGCAGCATTTACTGAAATATAAAATGTACAGACTCTTTATTTTAAATACAAAATTGAAAATAAATTTCACAATATATCTCATTCATTGAGGACTTTCACTGAGCAGCAGAGACGTAAAAACATGTTTTATTTATTTACTTATATGTATATGTATTTATTTTAAGAGTATATGTACGTCCTGATATATATTATAATATAAAATATGAATTAATTTAAATAAAACAATGTACTTTACACTGGGGCGATACGGTGGTTCAGTGGTTAGTATTCTCGCATCACAAAAAGGTCGCTGGTTCGAGCCTTGTGTTCTCCTTGTGTTGGCGTGGGTTTCCTCTGGGTGCTCCAGTTTCCATCACAGTCCAAACACATGCACTAAGTGTATTGAATAAACTATGTTGGCCTTAGTGTACGTTATGTGTGTGAAGGTGAGTGTATGGGTGTTTGTGTTTCCCAGTACTGGGTTGCAGCTGGAAGGGCTTCCGCTGAGTAAAACATTTGCTGGATAAGTTGGAGATTCATTCCGCTGTGACGACCCTTGATAAAACAAAGCCGAAGGAAAATGAATGGATGGAAACAACGTAACGTTACCTTACGTTTTCGCTTTTGCCCTATAAAGACTTTTAATTTGACAGCCAGCGTGACTTTTGTCTGCACGCTTCAATAAACAGGAAGCCAACAGGAACCTTGACCATGATACACAAGTCTAGTGTTTTACCTTTCAGATAATAAATAAAACACTGCTCTTTCATGCAGACCCAGCAGCTGAACGATAAAGCCGAGCAGCAGCGCATTTCTGCGGGTCTGTGAGCTCCGGTAAAGCCGTTTGTCCTCCAACACGTGGAGCTCCTGCAGGTTACGTGTGTCATTATGTCATGATGAAAGACTGACAAAACTGATGAAGGTACTTTAAATCTCTCTCTTTCTTTAAAACCTGTTTATTTATAACTCGATATATTATAGCCTGTGTTTATAATTCTACTGTATATGTTTATATTGTTATAATTATTACGGAAAAAGTCAGAATGTGCCAATATAACATCAACTTGTCTTGACTCCAATTTAATAACTAGCTTTAACGAGCGTTTGTTTGTTTACTTCATAGGAGACTTTAGATAAGACAGATGTTAAAATAAAATGTTAAATGATTTGTGTAATGGTAAAAAACAACAACTAACGTTATTTAACTAAGCTTTTAATTATTTGTGTGTGTGTGTTTGTGTGTGTATTGGGCATAATGTTAATTTGTATGCTTAATTTTAAACATGAGGAATTATTTACTTCTGTGTAAGAAAGTTTTTTTCTGGATTTGCTGTATTTATTAGGCATGGGTTTGAGTGAAATGCTAATATTTGATTCAATTTGTAAAGGTCTGATGACATTTCTTCTGAGCATATTTTGCATAAATTTGTTATTCAGGGTTTTGAGTTGTTGTAATTGAAAATCTGTGGTTATTCCACCCAATTATAGATATTTTTTTGAAGAAGAATGTAAAGTAGTGTTGTGTGCGCTGTCTAAATATCAACATAAGCATGCCTGATAACATGGCATATGTTTTCTGAAATGCTATAAAAGTTCATCAGTACTTTACAGAGTTAATTACATTTTTTTTATTTTATGAATTATATTTTTATTTAGTTTATTATTCTATTGAATAGATTAAAAGCAATTTAAATGCACCAAATACAGACAGATAGATTTGTAAAAATTGCCAATATTGGCTATTGTAATATTTTTAACCCCTTAATAGTTTTTTTTTAGATTGACTACAGAACAAACTGCTGTTACAGACCTAATTAGCCAAGTTAGGCCTTTAATTTTAATCTCCATTTTGACACACACCGACGTTTAACAGTGTCAATCTGAAACATATGACCAAAGGAAAACAACTAGATTTTCATCAAAGCCCTGTAACATGCGTCTCAAACAGACATAAGAAATAAAAGGCAAAGAAATAAAATCACCCAGTAAAGGTGTAACAAACTGCCTCTAGAACAGTACTATGGTAAAACAAATAAATAGGCTGCTGTGTGTGTGTGTGTGTGTGTGACAAATTCGAGTAAAGCCTGATTTATACTTCTGCGTCAAGTTACCGGCGTAACCCACGGCGCAACGCGCGTGGCTCTGCATTTATACTTCTACGCGCTGTCTCTGTTGGTCTGCATTAACACTTTCAAAACGCTAGTTGGCAGTGAGGTGTTAATATTCATCTGTGTCGAGTTTCTTCGCTGCTTTTTTGCTTTTCCTGAACACTTCCGGGATGTGCAACTGGCTCAAACTCGTTCATTTTGAGGCAGGAACTGGCGGACGTAAACACAGAACAAAACTTTCCATCCGGAGCTCCTTCACGGGACTCTACACTTGTAAACAATCGCTCGCGCCATTCGCGCGGCTCTCGTCCCGCCCAGACTCGTCGGCGCTAAAAAGCCGACCGATTACAGAGCTTGCGCTACGCGTTGTTGCGACGTGTAGTTACATTTTTTGAGAGGTGCACGTCAGCGACGCCGACGGCCACGGCGAAGGGCTATGCGTCAGCGCCGTAGCATACGCTGGCGTTTGACGCAGAAGTATAAATCAGCTTTAGGCTCAGATGTTCTGCTTGACCACATGTACGTAGTAGTTGCATGTACATTTGTACATGTCCACAGATTTTTTTTTTGCCATGCATAGACCATAGACCTCTTTGTGAAGCTGCTGTAAAATAGGCTGTTCACATACTGCATCTTTTGCGTGCACAAGCCCGCTATTTCCAGTGGAGGTGTACATATTGGAGGTGCGCTTGTGTATTCCAGGCGCACCCAGTTAAAAACATCTCTTTTTAGACAAACTTTAAATTTAACTATTCGGAATGCCGCACCTCGAGTCTCGTGACAAGATCTGACCGATCAGCTTCTTACTTTGTATGAAATAATAAACACATTTGCGGAGACTAATTACCTCAGACAAACACAGAACACCCATTTCTCCATAAATAAAACTTGTGTCAGAGCGACAGGAATGTTTTGTTAGTTTGTCATCCTTTGAGAAACAGTTGATGGTCGCCAAGTAGCAATGACAAATCTTCACCTTAGAACTATAAGGTTCTATTTGACATTTTTGTTTTATTTATAAGTTATTTAAATTTTAAGACTTTTTATTTAAAAAAAAATACGGTTTATCTACAAAGTCGAACTCTAGCTTTGCTCTGTAAGGTTCTTTCTGTGATCCAATCAGCATTTTTAATGCACGCACAAGGACCAACCAATCAGGATCAGCTTTCTTTGTCATTTTGCAGGACTGCTCTATTGACAGCAGGAAACACCAGAAAGAAAAAATGGCACAAAATCAGAGTCGGCTAAATAATGCCGCACCACACAAAATTGAGATGGGTGTCAATGTGATGATTTAAAAGCATTTCTTGACATTGAGATTCATTCATTTATTCATTTTCATTTTGGCTTAGTCCCTTTATTAATCTGGGGTCACCACAGCAGAATGAACCGCAAACTTATACAGCATATGTTTTACGCAGCGGATGCTCTTCCAGCTGCAACCCATCTATGGGAAAAACCCATACACACTCAATCACACACATACACTATGGCCAATTTTAGCTTACCCAATTTACATGTACTGCACATATTTGGACTTATATTTGGACCGAACATGGGGAGAACATGCAAACTCCACACAGAAATGCCAGCTGACCCAGCTGAGGCTCGAATCAGCGACCTTCTTGTTGTGAGGCGATCGTATGTCACAGACACCAACACTGAGATTAAATGTTTAACTTTACATTGTTGAAAAGAAATGAATATTTAAAAATGTATATATTAAATGGGAAATATATTTATTCGTTTACATATAGTCAGTGAAACACTTTTCAGTGTTTATTAAACTCATTTGCTCATAGTCTGTTTCTTTTAAAGTTGTTAAATTTAATATTAAGCCTTGAAGGGCAAATACTTAATTTAATTCATGGGGCATATAATTCAATAAAAATAATTCAGTAATTCATATAAAGCATGAAATTTAATAAATATGAACATATTAATTAGATAAAATTAACATCTGCAGTAAAAAAAAATATTTAGCACAGCCTTGTATGTTTAATTTAAACAAGAAATAATATATTTATCTTAAAACATGAAATAAATGTTAAAGAAAGCAAAAATGTAACTTTCTCAAGCATCAACATAAAGGGTCCTATCATACACCCAGCGCAGTGGGGCGCAAGACGCGGCGCAATAGTCTTTTGGTAGTTTCAGCTTGGCGCAAGAGTCATTTTGAGGCGTTGTGCTGTGCTGTTTAAATAGCAAATGCATTAGCGCTCATTTGTGCGCCCATAGGCGTTCTGGTCTAAAAAGGAAGGCGTTCTGACGCGGAGCGCTGGAGCGTTGCTATTTTGAGAAACTATAATAGATTTTTCATTAGACCAAAACTAACCCGGTCTAAACTCCGGCGCAGAGTTGCCCCTCGCTTACACATTGCTTAATACGCACGAGAGCAATAGGCAAATATCTTTACATATGAAAACATTTAAATATTAAGGATTTATACAGGATATATTAAGAAAAGATATAGGATATAAATATAAAGGATTAAAATATTACAAAACATATTATTTTCTAGCCTACATAAATATGAAAAATCACTGCTTTTATGTCTTCTTCATCTCGGGAGGCTTTTTCAGTTCATTCATAACAATTTGCTTTTGTATAATGTTATTATTATTAGCAGTATTATTTATTATATCCATATTTATATTTGTTTGATTAAAAACAAGCATAGATTTGCCCACCTGTCATGTTTTAGACCATATGGGGCATGGCAGGTGTATTTGGAAATAACTCAGTATTTTGACCACACTGTTCATTTATTTGTTTGCTGGAAATTAGAACTGTATTTAGAAATAGTTTTGAAACAAATATTTGCGCTTAACAAACAAAAGTATTTATTTATAGGCTAATTGATGTCTGTGTGTAAAGGTTTCCCTATCCAAGAGCGAAAGTGATCCATTATCTCTTATTCTCACGCAGTAGATGCTGTTTAACAGTTTTCTGTTAAAAAACTGTCAACTGTTAACTGTTTGCTTGTGAAATGCTAATTTTTTCCACTTAGACTTACTTTGCGTCCTGTAAAATAGTGAATTCGCTCTTGGCGCGACGCAGCTGGCTCTTAAAGGGAATCGGAGATGAGACTCTGATTGGTTTATTCTCAAAACACACCTATAACTCATTAAGAAAATAAACTTAACCCTTTTAGCCCATTCGCCTTGGCGCAAAGCGCATTTTCCCGTCCGTAAATTAGCAAAAATGCGTTCTGACACGCCCTGAAAGCGTTTGCGCCCTGCGTTTTGCGCTCTGCGCATGGACCGTCAAAATAGAGCCCATTGTTACAACACTAATTTATACATTTTTGGATTGTATTTCTTGAAAAGCAATGCTTCAATGAATGATCTGCCAGACAAACCTTATAATTCCAAGTGGAAAATGACTTTTCAGAATGAGAAGTTTCTATCTGTATTTATTGTTTTTTTTGTTTTTTTTGCAAATTTTTTAGTTTTTTTGTTTTTTTGCAAACCCTGAGGGCAGGGGTGTCATACTCAATTCCTGGAGGGCCGAAGCCCTGCACAGTTTAGTTCCAACCCTGCTCCAACACACTTACCTGTAGGTTTCAAACAAGCCTGAAGGACTCAATTAGTTTGATCAGGTGTGTTTAATTAGGGTTGGAACTAAACTGTGCAGAGCTGCGGCCCTTTTGGAACTGAGTTTGACACCTGTGCCTTAGGGTCTCTGTCAAGTTAATGTATGAAAGAGAACTGTTACACACCAATTGTTTGTTATATAAAATGCATAAAACCTTGAAGCTCAATATCAAAATATCAAAATCATTCAGAACGCAGATAGAACCTTATAATTCTAGGGTGACGAAATGACAAAGAAGCACAAGTGCAGAATGCATTGAAAGTGCTGAAGGAAGCGATGTGCGCTCACTTTTTACACGCTTTTAGAAGCAATATATGACTGATTACAAATGACCAGGTTTGCAATACATCAGCCTTCCTGTTTCCAAAGTAATCTCACACCACAGATGTTGACTTTTTTTGTCACCAATTCCTCCTGTGCTGAACTCATTTCAGTCTCCTGGGGTCCGTTCTTCGTACCTCGCTTAAATGATCTAAGATGATTTGGCAGATCCTGGATCTTTTAATCTTGATAACTGACCTCTCTCTAATTTGGTTCTTCAAACAAGTTCGCGAATCAGATTAGAATGTCTGGATGAACTGATCTGAGATCGCTGCCTGTGTTGTGAAGGACAGATCTGTCGATCCTCGAAATCATGATCAGCAATGCCATGATTGGCTGACGGCACAGCAGCGTAATGACATCATCTGATTAATATTCAATTATCCATGTGAGCAAAATTGCATCAAATTATCAGTAAACCGTTTGTTAAATATGACACGCAATAACTTTCCACATTTGTTGGGAGCTGCAGGCTTTACACTTGTGTCAAGAATATTCATCATGTATTTCAATGCAAATCAATGTATTTAGTTCTACATTTAGAAAAGATTTTCTTTATTATAGTAGCCGGTTTATTAATCACTTTATGGAATAACTGGTTGTTTACAAAAGCATTTTCATATTGGTAAAGGTGTCTGCAACTTTTGTGAAGCATCAAATCACCGGCATATTAACTGCCAAAACATGTTTACGACTGCATTAATGTATTATTTATTGTTTTAAAAGTCACATATTCTGCATTTCTATTATTATACACAATTTGTACTAAAGCGATCTAAAAAGTTAATATCAATAAGTTTTCTCTTTGCACCACCAGGTGGCAGTCTTTGTACTTTTATTTCGGGGGTGCAGATTGCATAAGTTTTATTAATATATATATATAACTTTATTTATTTTATTAATAACTATAACTTTATATATATATATATATATATATATATATATATATATATATATATATATATATATATATATATATATATATATATATATATATATATATAGTTAAAAATATTTACAATTTTCCCAAGTGTATATAACTACTACTGTAAGAAAATATCAGAATTCGGTACTTACTTTCTCTATTATCTTTGCATGCACTGACCTGATCTAATCCTGTTTATATGATTTGAACCTGCTTCCAATCAGGTTTGAGCTAGCAGAACTGTTGCTATGACAACAACTCTCGGATCAGCTTTGAAGAACGAAACGATCCTGGATCATGTCAAATCGTCAATATCCAAATCCAGCTAACTGAGTAATCCACGTACGAAGAACGGACCCCTGTTCTCGCGCTCTGTTTAGGCGTGCTGTGTTATGATTGGTTGAAGTAGCATGCTGTGTGAAAATAGAGCAGTAAGGTGATTTAGAAATCGTGCATGTTCAGATTGCGATTTTGATTTGATTTTAATTAATAATACAGCCCTACTTGGAAAATAACCAGTAACATATTATGTAATGTCAATATGGCAAGGACAAAAGATAATAATAATTACTTATCATCTTAATTATTGATGTCTAATAATCAAAAGTTATTAGAAATTATTTATCATTACAACTGTTATGTTTAGAAATGTGTTGGAAAAACTATTCTCCATTAAACATCGCTTGGGAAACGGTTATAAAATGATTACAATTTTCACAGAAAGGCTAATAATTTCGTCTTCAACTGTACTGTATGTATATAACACTGATATATGGTTGACACTGACATATCTGATTGTTCTGCATTGATACAGTATGTGGAGTGCATCCTGACATCTGCCATCCTCTGCCATGCTGCGGCTGCGATTGTTTCCGGGACGTTCCCTGCGGCCGTTTCACCGTCAGGCCGTCCTGCAGGATCCGGTGTTGGAGCACTTAAAGGCCTGTTCCTCCGAAGAGCAGGTATTTAATGTGGTGGGCAGAAACAAAGCCAAGCTGTCGGTCGGCCATGTGAACTGCGCTATTGGCCTGCTCTGGCAGTTTCAGATCGAGCGGCCGGAGATGCTCAGGACTTTAAATCTGATCCAGAATCACCCGCAGTTCCTGACGCTTCGAGTTCTGGCTGAGAACAAGATCAGCCTCATGGAGGACTGCGCTCTGGTGGACACGCTTTATAACGTGCTCAGGTACATTAAGAAAAACCTCTGCT